ATCCCTAGGAGCTACCAAGTACCAGAAAAGAACTAAACGTGCACATGGTTGCCTATGTTTAACGATTTTCTTGATTGAATTTTTTTCAAATTCAAATTATTCAAATGCGATTTCGCGCCACTGTTAATTTGATCACAACAAACTACATAGCTGCCTTAATTTTCGGACTTCGCCACCACGATAGTCACCGCTTTTACTTCTAGACTTAAAAATTAACAGAACATTCGGTATTTTTTAAGCCATAAGACCATTTGAGGCACTATCAGTCATATTTTGAAATAGTATGGCCTCTGTATGAGTGAAAATTTCATCTAAAAATACAATAGGTCGTGCCTAGGTGAGAAAGTATTGTAATGGAGTCCACCGGGCGATTTGTTACTGCGTTGTTTTCTCTACGTTTCATGACCCCCAGGGTATAAAAAATGTGGTCTTCCGTTTCCGTCGGTTTGTATGTTGTTTGATTCGATTTTTATTAGACAGATAACCTGAAATCTGAAATTCGAAACTAGTGGACTGATTGTTGTCAAATTTGTATGTATAAGGCCTCCCTTTTGTTTTGAGGAGACAAAATCAATCAAGTTTCATTTTCTTTTAACGCAGATGCTTGCCATGGAAACGTGCTAATAGTCGAATTCTTTCGAAGTAAACATAAACAGTTGAAGTTGCGCATGTAGACTTCACACAATCTAAGTTTAACATGGTGAGTCACCACAATCTGACAACTGACTGTTAGTCAGTAGCGTAACGTGCGAAGTTGAGGAGGGGGTGGTTTTGTTTACTTATGTTGTCACTGTTGTTTAAATCGCAAAGAGTAACAAAGGGAAACAAACTGAAGTAAACTGATACGCATGCAAATGAATATTAAACCTGTTAAATTGGAAATACGCAGGTAAATAGAAACGTCCACTAGGATTAAGAAACAATGACGGGCGCTTCTGAGTGTGCGTCCACCCCTAAATTTAAAAGTGACCTTTACAATTGTGTTGAACTTTGACCGTGTGGACTTTGCTGACACATTGAGAGTTGAGACAAAATGTTTTTCCATTGGTTATCTATTTCAAATCTCTATATTGTTACGTTTTCTGGTCTTTTAAAAATCGGCGTGTGTAAAACTCTACAATTTATTTCACAGTAATACAAAACTAGACTAATTAGTATATACTAAAAAGCAAATTTTCTCATTTGCTGGAATCTACTGACTGCTTCCGACGGTGGTCTCTATTTAAACCTAGATGTTCCTTTCTCGATAGTTCGCCGTCATCGCTTCGAGCTCATTCTGGAGCCCTCCGCCGAGACTTCCGCCGTCACGGATGATCGATCGAGTCACCCATTATCGTCGTACATACTAGAAAGTCCTCGAGAAAACTCATAGACGTACCGGAGTTTGGGTTTATTTCGTAAAAAATTGTCCGCATTTATGGCGACACTTCCCGCCTTGGAGTTTGTGCTCCTACGGTGCAGGCGCTCCGGGGGTGTGATTTACTTCACAGGTTTTTACTTTGTAGAGGTGATCACAAAACAAAAATCGCAAAATCAAGTGTTATAATTTTAGACTATTTTTTTTCTGAATACTTGACGCACAATGATCTTTTTTCACTCGATTCAGCTAGAATTTTTCTGTTATAGCCTTATTAGCACGATGTAGTTCATTTCTAGGGGAACGGGAAAAGTTATGCAACATAATATACACAAACTGAAGCTAACTTTGCTTCATGAGGCAGAATCAAAGAAGGGAAGATAATTTGATGCACACGTTCACAGGAAGTTTTTAGTGTCTCAGATAACTGTTTTATGAGAATTCGACGATCTGACACTGCGTCAACATTTTCAGGAGTGGATACCGAAATCGGTCTTCCCGGTCTATCGTCATCTTCAACCGAAACTTTTCCCCTTTTGAAGGCAGCAACCCAATTTTTCACGGTGGCGTACGAAGGACAAATTTCACCAAATGTTTTAGACATATCATCGTAAATTTCTTTACCCGTTAGCCCCTTTAAACACAGGTACTTAATAATCGCTCTATATTCAATTTTACTGATTTCACTAGACATGACTTTTTCAAAATTCTCGTGCACACCAATGCTTGAACTTTTCGAAATCAAGTTTGACAGCAACATTTCTAATGAGTTGTTGTTGGTTACTATGGTAATAAACATTACTTAGGCTAACAATTTATCAAATTACCCTCGTACACTTTAGTACAAATGATGAGTTGAAAAAAGTAGTTTTAAAATAGAAGTTGTGCAGATCTTTGTTATTACTGCATTATTTTTGATAAGTTTACTGGTTTTACATCTTATAGTCTTATATTTTAACGAAATCGTCCACCCTGTTGATTTTGCTAAAGTTTGTTTTGTAAATCTAGAAACTGAATCTTAAGTAATCTGTGACAACCACAGGCTTCTGAATGACTAAAATCACTAAAATGAGAAAATTCTTTTTTGATTTCGAAGTCTGAAGAGACCCAATAAAATAAACCCACACATTGTGTCAGAGTTGCTATAAATTCTTGAATGTCGTCTTTCAGTTTTGTAGCGCTTATACTCACATAAATATTAAACTCCACATTGAAAGTCTCATGATTACTTTGATGTAATGTTCAGCTGTAGAATACATTTGGCAAAGCTTTTGTGCGCATCCATTTTTATTTCAGTAACTCTCAGGTTTTCATGCTGGGATACATTATTTTTAATTGTTTTCAATACAACTTTCATGTCATCGCAAATGCTTTCGAGTGTATCGCACGAGTAACAATAATAATGGAAGACTGCCTTTGGACCCTTTTGTGACGAATTGATGAGGAGTCGCGAATATGATGATGATGAATTATGTTGTTATTTTGCCTCTTGCAAGAACTCGGTGATAGTATGACAAAAAGGTTATAGGGGTGTCAATATAAAATAAATCTTGGGTCCATTATTCGGCGATCAGTATCTATTGGCAACTTTTTCTTTTAGTTTAAGGGTAACAAGTTTTACTATTTTTTTTAGTTTCATCTGATAAAATCTATACGGCTCTGAGTTAGTTTTATGAGGACTGTGTAACTGTGTTCATCATCCTGTTGATCAACTTCTTATAACGAATTACTGTCACTGTGTATGTATGCTAAAGGGAAACTAGCAGGTATGGAAAAACCCGATGACACTGCCTCAACAAATAGTAGTCCTTAGATGATTTGCGCTTCTTTTCAGACTACAAACTTTTAAATTATATAATTAGACAGGCCCGTTAATTACTGCTCATTGGTGTGTTTTACCTTCAGATCAGAAAAAATAGTAAGTTGTGTGTTTTGATACTTAAAAATATTCCGAATTTTACAAGTATAACGAGACCATATTTATGATGGGTACAAGTATTGGGGTTGCACATCTGTATCCTGCTGTTTTAACATGTATTGTATACCTACTTTAACTGGCGTTGAACCGATTTCCTGTCAATGTAGTATTTTATTACACGTTGGATTATGGCTTAATTTGTCCATAAATAATCGAACAAGCGCTGAACGTCTACCGGATGACGTCGTATCACGTGGCTATATTGCGGTAGTCGGGGTAGCATTGAAATAGCGTAAATGAAAAAACAAACGAGTCGTGTTTTATATTCCATAACTATAGTTTATGTTATATAATAATAGACCAACATCGTGAAATACTGTAAATTGTCGTCAATGAGATCCTACGTTTACCGCACAATTACGCATTCCACTGAATTTGGTCCGTCTTGAATTAATTTAGCCTACCGAAGGTACTTACTACAACATGCTTTTGTTGATATCAATACACTGTCACTTTCTCGTTCTCTCACATACACTCACTTCTTGTCAAGATGTTGGCTTTTTTAGCCTTATATTATAAAATGATACTGTACATTAATTATGGTATATGTAGTGTGGTGTAGTGTAATTGTAGTGTAATGTATGTTGCAGAAAATGATCAAAGCTCGCTAAAGTTTTTAAAATTAAAAATTTGTAAAACCCATGGTTATTCATTTTTGTGTTCTTCTGATAACTTAAATAAAAATAAATGGGTGAAATAATAATGATAATAAATTTAAAAATTAAATGGAAATCCGGGTTCCACTTTTTTTTACATACGTATCGGTTTTCTTCATTATTTTATAATAACATCAACCAATACATTTTCGTAAATGCCGTTTGTTTAATTAATTTTTCGCCAATTTTGAGTTGTGATGATGTTCTAATGAATTCAAATTATTTTAGTTTCACTCTTACTGATTTGTAGCGACAATGGCAATAAGAATACACATATGTAATAAATATGCAAAAAAGCAGATACACTTTATCATATAATGAAAATAGTTTTTATGATAATAAAAACACGTACATTGTAACACAGGTATTATACGGAGCGTAATTTTTATTTGTAATCATGATGATTGATGAAATGATGCAAGTTTGTATTGTTTCAATGAATTTAATGCTTTGCACTTACCATTTCGTATAAAGTATAGAAATACCTCAAGGATATATAATGCGCAGGATTGTAAATCATATTTCAGGAAGTTTACTAATCATCATAATTTTTTACTATCAAAAACATAAAAAAACTAGTCTACGTTCACTAGTGGTTTAGAAAGTCTGTGCAATGTAATGCAAAACCAAATTAGCCACAACTGGCGTCCTAAATCGAATAAAAAAAACCTACCAGCAATGATTACAGATGTTAGTAACGGAACTGGATAAATTTTGTAATTACCCTTTTCGAGAAATTCGCAAAATTTGGATCAGCTCCCTTTATTTTTGTCAGAAAAAGTGAAACGTGTCTTATTTCTTCAATTATCAGTATTCTTACTTTCGTGAACGGAGACTTTCTAAATCGCCAATGAACGCAGAGGATGAAGCAAATGTTAGTACATTTGACAGTTAGTAACACATAAAACAGTCAAAAGCATTTCAATAATTTTTATTTCATCGTACAAAAATAAATTCTTGTGGAAGCTTCAAAGCACTGATCGGACACAAAGTTACTTGTTGAACTTACCATTTGTGGGACAACTTTCTTCGTATTGTCTGCACCACTCTGGTTCAAGAGCGTCGGCGTTTACTCCTAGATTAATGATTCTTTCTCTTTGCACCAACATACGTGATTCAGCTTCCCTCCAACCGTTGGAGGGTTCACTCCAGAGCACTTCTCCCATTGCAGCTGCTCTTGGCCACAGACGAGTGTCCACACTGGCACTGTCCACCTGTTCGGTCCATAGAGCTGCTTCCATTCCTAGTACTAGATCATTTTTGCCGCCTGTAATTTTAAAGATTAGAGTAAAGAAAGAATTTAAAAAAATGAAATTATTGCTCATGCAGGTCCTTGACAAATTTGACAAGTAGAACAGTGACTGATATTAGTAGCCGTTCTTAGTATCTACTTGTATTTTGGACACTATTCCCAAATCGGCGCTATCTGTGTACTTAAATTTACTTAAAATATCTACATTCTTTTTTTAATAAATACTTTGGTCGCTTAGGACCTACACGAACCTGCAACTGTAGCCGGTTTGTTCTCGTAAATCTTTTGCCATCCTTTATAAGGAGAGCACCAATTGTTTCCATCTGTTACCCAGCCACTAAAACCGCAGTCCAGATATAAAGCGTCGTAGTTGCTTATAATAACTCTGTAACCATTTGCAAGAAGATTTGATATTTGGGGATCAGAACCTGTGGTCCATATCTGGATAATGTACTGGTCTTTTGACAGATGTTCTAGATATTCTCCCTCTGTTAATGTGCTGGTCCATAAAATGACAGGAATGTTACTGCTGGTTTGTTTGTACAGTCTCTTTAGGGCTTCGGTTTGGAAGTGGTCCCACAGTTTTATAAAATCTTCTTCGGACCGGCCCCATCCTTGATTTTGCATCCATTCGACTATACTCGCCGTACTGTTCCAGCAACCGAAGTGGACTTCGTCGCCACCCATATGGAAAATAGTTGGTTGGAATTGTTTAATCATGTCACCATAAAGGGCTGAAAAATTACACCAAATAAGTATAACAGACATCTAAAATGATAAAAAATAACTGACATTCAAGTGCGTCATACAGTCCGTCCTTAGTCGGATCAAATTGTCCACATGGAGGTTCCACACAATAGTCCTGCCATGGTGCGGCTTTGAAACAAACGACGTAATCTGTGTTTTGCCATCCTTCACCAACATGAGCGGGAGCATCAAATTCTGGTACAACTCTTACTCCACACTCTTTTCCATGTGCAACAATATCAGCTACATCTTCTGGAGTATAAATTTTTTTTGGAGTATAAGCTCCATATTTTCTCAGGTCTGGCAGACTGTCTGCCGTGAAAGGGAAGCTGTGACTGTCTGTAATATGCCAGTGGAAACTGTTCAGTTTAGATGATGCCATAGCGCTTAAGGTGTTTTTGATCGCGTCAACCGTAATATAGTTTCTGGAGGTATCCAGGGCTAATCCTCTCCAAGGGTACGCCGGTTTATCAGTAATACTAATGTCGTTCGGCATAATCAATTCTTCTCTTAAATCATCATAAACAATTAGTTGGTTTAGGGTTTCCAGTCCATTGCGCCCTCCGTAGAAGTTGTCAGCGACAATTGTAGCATTTAGACGCCCGTCCGACGTTTCGACAACTGTTAAAGCGTATCCTTCTTCAGTCTCGAGTGTAAGGTCTGTCAAACCTGGATCTGATAGAATGTATGTAATTTCTAGAGTTTTGCCACCATCAGCTCTTTTAGTTTTGGGCCGCAGTTCATTCAGTTGCTTATTGAAACGAGTCATAGCACCACCGATTAGACTGTGACTGCGTTTTTCAGAACCTACACCTGAATGGCTTATGCTGTTTGGGTTGACTTTTACTAGGGTGGTTCCCACGTGGATTTCGCCGGTGGGTTTAGGCCAAAGGGCGGAAGCATCGGAGCACAGTAGACGACATGCTGAAAGACTTATGGCTGTGTCTTGGGTATCTGGAGTAATTTCTTTCTTCTGACAATAACCCTCTTCGCATTCCCACCTCCATACTCCGGTAAGACCACTGAAAAATTTCGTTTATGCAAAAGTCATAACTGTGTATAGTTTTCACTAAAATATGAACCATCCTTTTCTCTGCAGTAGCGATCTCGAGAAAAGTTAGGTACATTTAGTGATTACTTTATTACCACTACAGGAACAGATTTTAGTTTGAATTATTTTGTCATGTTTTAAGTCGACTTTATTAAAAATGGATTATTTGTAGCAGGAATATTACCTGATTGTTTTCAGCAGTAGAACGAAAAGTAAATATTTGGTTAACTGGTGCTTCATTTTGTCTGTAAAAATAAATAAGTGTGTTCTTTTTTAGTCAACTCGAAGGCAACGACCTCCAGATCTTGTAAAACTAGATTTGAATTTGGTTTAGTAAGAATTTGCTGATTTGTTCAGTAAACTTGTTTCGATAACTTTAAACTATAGTGACACGTTGTTTCTGTTAAAATCCTTAACAAATTACATGTTTATTTATTTAAGGAATTCTATAGTTCAAGACGACTTGGGACTTACCTAAATTGTGGTATTTTCTTTTTAAAAAAACTGTTTTTCTTAGTATTTCTTCCGTTGCAATAAGTAGTAAAAAATGAAACCCATGCTATAATATTTATTAGACATATTGCAAAAAAAACAAATACAAATATTTTTCTTTTCGGTGCTTTTATGTAATTCGGTTTATTAGGGTAAAAGGGATAATATGCAACGTTCATAGTGACAAATTGTTATTATGTGTGGTCACATGTTTGACAAGTAAGTTGTGATTTACTAGGCAACAATGCTTGTGATTAAGCGATACGATTATGCCTAATGTTTAACTTGAAAAAATTATCAGATTATGTTATCAGTGTAAGGTTGGCACATTTAATTATTTGACTAGGAATACTTTAGCACGACATAAGATTTAATCCTAATGCGCTTGTATTATAAAAATGTATAGTGACAGTTATTTATGTACAGTACGAATCTTATAATATAGAGGGTGTTCAATTTCAACTGATGTGTGTAATATTTATAATATGTATTGGAAAATCAGGAACTTGACCGTAAGTCTTCCAGCATTTAACGAAAAAAAAAAAAAAACTACATATTTAAGCAAAGAGATCTTGTTATTTTCTTCATTAATACCATGCACATATCTCGTAGATAAACATTTAGAGCTCAAATGATAAGGAAGTTGCAACTTTAAGGTAAATATCTTTTTACCACTTTGAGAAAGAATGTGTCTAATGTTTTTACACCCCGAGCGTAAGCTAGTTCGTTGAACGGCTATTTTTTTGTTTTCTTGACGTTTCGTAACGCCTAAAGTATGCTCTCCTTTCCATCTGTTTGCCGTTTGTCGTATGTCTGTTATCTGATCTCTGAAACTACCAGACCGCTTGTTGTCAAATTTTATATGTACGTTAAGAATATTGTGCACATGGTAAAACGCTAACCAAATTTTTCTAATCATTCTCAGCAAGAACTTTATGATATCACCTCAAAATTTTGAAAAATAACATACTCCTGTACTTGTGGTTTATGAATCCGCCTTGATTTTTATAGTTTTTATTTTAATTTCTATTGTTTAATCTTTCCAAAAGTAAAAGTGCTTTTTTTGCATATGAAATGTTCCAGGTTCGATATCCAACATCTCCAACTTTTTTATTGATTAAATCGAGAAAGGTTTACCCTATTTAACCGAAAATTTAACAGTAGAGTACTGTTACTATTAGTATGAGACCGTACTGTTTTTAATAATATTAGACTATACTACTATATCAAACTGTGTGTCCCTTCTAAAATTTTGATGACAAAATTTTGTTATGGAAAAACTCATTTGAAACATAGGCATAGTACGCATCTTTTTCTGGACAGTCACACATACAGTCGCGGCCAGAAAATTTTGGACGTGATTGTCATTCCTCTGTCACAAAATGTGAAACACCTGTAAGTATTGTAACCCTATTTTATAGTTTTGTCATTTTTGACGCTGCAGGCATGCTAACATTGGATGGATCAAAGTGATAATAAAGCATGGACTACATGAAAATTTTCAAAATAACAGGAAAATGACGTCCAAGAAACTAGCATTTGCGCTCTCTTATTTGTCGAGCGGGTATTCTATCAACTGAACTATCCAGACCGCAAATGCTAATTTCTTACGATAAAATGCCTCGTTGATGAATATTACAAACAGTAATGGATTCAGTTTGGAACCCTGGGATTCATATAAAGATGCAATGTACAATTTTGATTTAAATCCGTTTTATGAGAAAGAAATAACATAAAAATGAAAATGACAAAGTGGTTAAGTAACTTACATCGTCATATTGAAAAAACTTATGAAAATTTCAAAATATTCCATGTTTGTGTGCATGAGTGTAGATAGATGACATTAATTATGACACCTCATAAAAACTTAATACCATTTTTCTGTTTTAGATTTTTTTATGGCATGAATAACTAACAAATTTCTATGAAGTGATAAAAGATAAAGAGAAACAATTACTGATTAAATTGAAATGATATGTGAAAAAGGCAACAATAATAGAGTGCAGATAAAATAGAAAAAAATTACTTAAAAAAACATTACATTCAGAATAAAATGTCCAACAGTCATTTAAAAGTCATCAAAGGCTCCGTCAAATTTATGTGATTGTCCGCATATCTAATTTGTTTATATAACTGTATTAAAAAACAATTACAATAATAAAATTTATTGCCCCAAGTCATTGAACATTTTACTAAATAGTAAAAAATAAACTTTAGAATTTGCTTTGTATAACCGATGCTATGTGTAATTTGATCACCACCTTATTGTTGTCAAAAAAAAAAAGGAATTAGAGGTGGCTAGGATTTTAAAGCGTTACTTGGTATTTCTACACTGTGACAGCTGTATCATGAATAATAAATGTTAAAAAATATGGTAACAATGTGATAATATATCCACAGACTTGAATAGTTGTTTGAAGTGTCTAATTCCAATCCTATGGGTTTTTATTATAGGCATACATCTATTCTAAGTATAACACTGGCGCTGCTTTCTTTTAAATGCTCGATTGTCATATTTTTGACTTTGGGAATTATTTTATGATAGTGCATTCAATAAACGCGGCTACTCATAAAATAACTCGTTCAAGTGTTTGTGATTAAATTTTATGCTCAATTATGATATACGAATTAGTGATGTCCACGCCCGCGTAAATTTTATAATTCAAAGCTTTATTCAGAAATGACTACACTACTTTCGATTTATCAAAATAATTCAAAAATTTAGAATTTTTAATCTAAGTAGCCTGACTAAGGTTTGTTAACATTTAATAAATTTCAACGCATTTTTCCCTCTTAACAAAAAAAAATAATTAAACTTTGAATTCGAAAATTAATTAAAAGCAAATTTAAATTTTATGCATCATTAATTCACGGAATATCCATTGCTTGTAACAAACTACTTTTTTCTGACATGTTGCGGACATGACTGGATTCTTTTCTTATTCTAGTAATGTATGCATATTGTAAAACTACATTTCTGTTTTTTAACGAACAGTTCGAGTTATCAGTAGTCATTTTATACTACCTTGAAACGTGTATTGACCTGATATGATGTTAAATTTGTATGAATGTTGTGTTATTATGAATAGAAACCATAAATGCAATAATGTGTTCTTGTCAATTTTTTGAACAAAAACAACCGAAAATGTGTCAAAATACCATAGCGAGTAATAAGTTTAATCGGCAAATTCTTATCTAAATATCAAATTCTAATAAGACAAACAACAGCTATATTTAACATTTAAAATGATTTGTTATTGTGTCAACAATACTGGTTATTCTACGAAAACAAAAAATAAACATTTACACAGGAATGGCAAGATACATATACTTAGATTTCCATGTGCTTGTGTTTTCGTATATTTATCAAACAGTTTCTAAACCGAATGAAAACGAAAAGCGTAGCAGTACTGACCTGAGATCGTTGACACACTAGCAAATTTACATGAATGCACGAACAACACAGTTTATTTTCTGAAGGTTCTTAATAATAAATAAAGAAACTTACATGCCAGACAAGGATCAGCTGATGCTTACGTACATAGAATATTAAAACAATAAATTGTGAAAGTTACTGTAGGACCACCTACTTCAATAATGGCGCGCTGTGTTTCAAGTTCATTTATATCTTTTCGTAGATACCTTCAAACCGGATCGAACGACAAAAACAAACTTCGAGATATCCTGGCGTTATCTCCGCACAAAAATATTTCACTATAGTTTGTGGAAATGGTACCACTTAACTAACAATGCGTGGGTAGCTACGTTATATAAATTTAAAAATGGTTAAGTACACAGTTTTTTTGTTATGGTTGGGAATTCACAGTAATTATTTAGTTTTTACCACAGGAACGAAAACAGTTTTGTATTTTTAATGAATAATAAATTTGTACCGTGAGTTAAATCAGACGTGAATAGAGTTCATGGCTATTATGGAAAAAGTACAAATTTCTAAGTCAGTAAAGAAAATTTTCGACAGCATGTTTACTGGTGCTCATTTGGTATTATTATTTGGAAATTTGTAAGCAAATGTCAGAAGGAGAAAGGGAGAGGTTTATATTTGAAAAGTGTTATGATTTAATGGTTGACTATTCAGCTGCAACATGATACTGTACTGCCGAATATTGAACAAAGTACTTATTTACTTATTACTGACGAATATGCACGAATATTTTTTATATTAAGCGAAGCCATTTCATTCATGGTTCATTGAAGAGTTCGCAGAAGATGATTTTTCATGTGGTAAAAAGAATATTAATTACAAATTAAAATTATCTGTTTGTCAACTAATTTTCCTTAAATGTGTTTTCCTTGTTTTTTATAAAGTAACAGTAAATAAAATAATAAAATAAATGTCTGAAAAAATATACAATCAAGATTAACTTAAAAGAATAAACAAGTTAAATGCTTTTTACAAGAATGTACAATTAGAAAATATTTCTTGTAAAACATTTGGGTTGAGATATCCCTTACCTAAGTATTTTTTTTTTGTGAAACATAACTTCTTACTATTAGTTTTACACTTTTTGAACAAGTACTCCTTTATAGAAATTATAGTCGTTTAGCGTTTTACTAAAGATCTGCTCGAATATTTTAAACATGCTTTTAAAATTTTAAATTTAAAAGAAGTTGCTTTTTTTATGAGATTGTGAAGGGAAAATGATAACTTCCTGTTATAAATTTTTCAAGGTGTGCTGATGCGAGTAGTTGTATTCTTTTTTAGTTTTTGCTTCCTTAAGGAAAATTTAAAAGTGGATTGTAAATATAATTACAATGTGTTGCAATTTCACAACGTAATAAAATATGTAGTTCTAGTGAACCAATTATAATATTCGTCTTGAATTATTTATTTAATCTTTCGGTTTAATTTTGACAACGCATAATGAAGCAATTTTTATAGGACAGTCAGTAAATGTTTAGCACATTTTTTTCCAAATTTGCTTTTTGCTAAACAGGTGTTTTTAAAATGATGCCAAACCCATGCTGTGTTATGTGATTCAGAGTAAATTTGCTAAATTTAAACTCAGTCCTCGCAATAGTCCTGACATTCAGGACTCACTACATGAAAATTTAGTTTTGTTGCTATTTGGTTTGATTTCTGTACAGTTCAATTAAAAGAAAATCACTTAATTTCGCATGCGTCAATACAGAAAATAAAAGTTTAGACAAGTGGTTTTTGTTTTGTTTGCCTGCTTGTTGTCAATATGACTGAAGATAAAACATCAGGTGACATTTTCCTGCCCTACTGCAGCAATAAATTAAAAGGAAGGTGCTTTAACTGACAACAAACTTATTGTTATTAATAATTTCATGAGCAGCAAAACAATGATCGTTAAAAGGGTACTTCAGGAAGATTTTTGTTTAACCAACGGTCAAGTATTAATAATAGTGATTATCACGCCAAAATTTTGTCCACTTTTGTGGTTCATAGTTTTTTTTTTTATTAACTTAAGTGTATTGAAATGTAAATATCAAGTAAATACTTATGGATTTCTGATGATATTGAGTACAAAATTTTTGAGATTATCTTTAAAGCAATGGAGATATTTTTAGATTTTATCTAAAAAAACATATTTATCTTGATCGGCGTAAATATGGATTGAGATCTACAGATAATCCCGCATTTCCGAAATTTAGGAATATTGTGTTTTTAGAAAGTGCTCTAAATTTGTAGATTTTTCTGCAATACACGAATGCTCAGAGTTTTTTGGTGTTAAAAAGTACCTAAATATAAAGATTATTTTTTAACTACTTTACTGAACAATCTAGCCAGTTTTTTGGCTTCACAATGTACGCTTTTGTTTAACAATTTTTGAAAATTAAAATGTCTTTTTGTATGCGGACACATTCGCCTCTTTGATGATACTTTAAAAAGCGTAATAAAATCCCGTGCAAGCGTTATAAACATTCCGGTAATAGATAAGTCATAAAATATCGATTTTTACAAAGAAATTCATTAAACACTATAAATAAAAAATATATGGTACGTAATCACTTACGAAATTTATTTGCTTCAAATTTTTAGTGTCGTAATAAACCGCGTCAGTAAACTTGGCAATGATGATCAATTAAACTGATCACAAGCGACAATATTAAGGCAGAATAATTAACGACCTTTCATTCTTCTCGGCTGATTCCATTTTAATAACACCACGATATTCATTCTTATCACGTATTTACGGAGGGGTCCAGCCCTACTAAGTATGGATCTTATATTCCTGCATATAAACAAGTAAACATGAGGGGAACGAGATAACTCCGATATAGGTGAAATTGAAGATTTTAAAGGTGCAACTGACACAGATTGATTACAACGAATAAAATGGGTCGTTGTATATTAGTTCTTTTTGTTGTTGTACTTGCAGTATTTATTTTGCATTCATCTTGTAAATGCACTAAATCTGTGAGTCGGAAAGCTGGTGAGTGGGGATATTTTTATTTTCTTATAGGTTACTGGCAAATGTACTTTATTCTTATTATTAAAGTGTAATTATTATGTTATTATGTCATTATTCGTGATTACTGTATATATCACGCATTGTTACCTTCTCGAATGACTTTTCTTAGAATCTCTGTGTTGAAAAATTGAATTTATAGATTGCATGTACAAAAATATATTAGTGAATAGTGACTTGCTTTGATTAAGTTTTTACCGAAATTTACTGTATTAATTACCTCACAAAGTATAAGGTCAGTTTACTAAAGTAAGAGTTGTATTCAAGCCAACACATTGGAAATTGATTGAAAAATAAAAATAAATTCAACGAAATGAAGATAAATTGACCGCAGCATGAAAGGAAATAATAAATTAATGTTTAACACCTTATAACGAACCTCAGCTTATTAAGTATTATATGAATATTAAACAATAAAAACAATTTCCATAAAGCTAACCTTCATGATGTGTGTGATTTATTGTGTGAGATCGTGGTCTACGGTTGTGGCTTGTGATAATGTAGAAAGTATCTGCGACGCGTTTTATAATATAACTTATGTTATCTGTTGGATGCCCGTCCCTTAAAACAGGCATAGAAATATATCTGCCATGGTTTTCAAAACTATATAGAAGTAAAGTTCAAAATATATAAACAATTCCGAAAACTGAGAGTATTTACTCATTAAAAGGAATTTGTTCTTTCAGATAAAAATTCAAATTAGAGAATGATATATAAAATGGAAACTGGACTTTATGTAAATGTATACATATAATAACTTTATTGGACTTTGTAAAAAATAAGAAAGGGTGACTAAAATTCCTGTAACAACGTTGCACAGTGTTACAAAATTATTTGTTCCAAACCGCTTCTAGACTTAATGTGGAGCACCCATTCGCGACTTCCGCTTCCAGGCTCTTTTTTAGCGAACGCCGTCCGGCCGCCGTCACCGACGATGAGTTACCCATCATCACTACACATACTTTAAAACTCATAGGCGTCGTACCGGGGCGGCGTATGGGTTTATTTCACAACAATATTTTCTCTTGATGGATTTTAAAATCTATTCATATATTAACTTTTAATTTTATTTAAATTCGCGTTAAGTTTGACAAGGTTTATAGGTACTACAGTACTTAAGTACTATAAATACACCGTTTAATTCTTTCTTTCTTAAAGTGATTAGAATAAATACACTTGCGAAATATTTCAAACATTATTTTAACATTTTTTTGTCTTAAGATTCGGCTGATCGGCTGATTCTATTGCTCGCTTTTTAGCGTGTTATCAGCCTTTAGAAATTGTTGCCTCGTTTACAAGTTGAGCGTCCTTGGCTTAACTTTAAAGTTTGATGAGCAAATAATGTAATAATGCGCAAATGTGTTTGGCTGTAATTTCCATCATTAATATGATTACTGTTGTGCACATTTTAATATAAATGATGCACATCCTTTTAAATACATTTTAAATTTTTTAAACATATTTTTGTATCGAAAAGAAGTACAGTATTTTGTTTCTTGTAATGACATATAATTATGAATGAACTTACAATTAAAGCGGCCTAAAAAGCATTACGTACCTATAGATTTTTTCTAATATGTAAATATGAAGCGTTATAAATTTTAATTTTGTTTGAACTAAGTGAAACAGCTATTATCTGATTTTTCTAGGTAGGTATACGTATCTCACAACATAAAATAATGAACGATTGAAATCTCCATGAGACAGCAAAACAAGATCGCTTTTTTAAAAATTGGATGTTGTTTACAACGCATACTTATACGGAAATATTATTAATGTTGACAATCCTCTTCTCTTGAACTGTTTTCTTCAAAATAAGTATTTTCCGAGACTCGTAGCTCACTCTTTGGACATTGCGCCCTCGAATCTAGACAATTCGTCTGAGATTGCGTTTTATGTAAAACTAGAGCTGATGTTTTAGTGATTTTATTCTCTTTCAGATGTGAACTTTAAAAACTCACGCAACTTGATATGTTTTAACAATTCATCAAGGTAAAAATGTTGTTTCAAAAAAGGTATTCGCTGTTTTAGTGGCACAGCTGTACGCAATATATTAAAAAGATTTCATCTGCAGAACTTTTTTTTATTTTTATTGTGAAAATCAAAGAGATTACATATGAACAAGTATAATGTGATACTGATAACCCAAATATCTCGCCTTAAATTAACATGTGGAAAAAATTGAAAAAATTTAGCGTTGGCTATGATGATTTATTATTCCACTGACAAAAAAAAAGGAAAAAAAAGCTGCGACTAAGTTGCTTAGGTTGAAGACCTTCTTAGTGCTTAGTTACAAAAAAAACTTTCCAAACTTTAAATGAAATCAAATTAAACGTTCTGAATCAATGCAAATATTTGAATATCACAAATTTGATAAAAACAAAGCAAAAAAAAAAAGTAAAGTACATAGACAAGTTATTACGGACGTGTGGCCGTAAACTTACATTGTGACAGTCAACAAGAGAACAAAATTTTAATAAAAAAACTGTGCATCGACAGCGGCACCAGAGTGTTGTAAGAGTGTAGCGATCGAACTATATTAATTTCATTCTAGAGCACAACAAAATTACCCATAGGGGGCCTTGTAGCACGAGCGGAGTTTAGGACCCCTGGTTGTGGCTGTTCTCCCCCCACGACGGTGATTCTGTTCTATCTTATCGGCAAGCACATGCTACCCAGCACCCCTCTATGACCAAAAAACGTGCCGCGCAGAAATAGGCCGCTACGGTCGCAAACTCGTGGTTGGAACCCATAGCTATACATAAGTTGACAGCGTCACGTCATCCCGACCGCTCCCCTGATTTCTATTATAGGCCTGCATTCTTTTGTGCAGATGGTGCGGCCGCCAGCTCAACAAGGAACTGCGCACTCCACTTCCACCACGTGTTTCTGTTTTATTTGCCTCAATTCCATTGAAATGTTCATTTTCTATGACTCTGATGTTAAACAAGTGTTAAAGTTTCAAAAAAAGCAATAAACAACATTTAAGTTCACCAGAACAAAAAAAAAAAAATGATCTGGTGTGAAATAAAACTTGTGCAGGTAAAACTAATTACGTGAGGTTAGAAACTGCAGATCATGAAAATTTACGTTCAATTTAAATTATACAGCAACGAAAATTATTGAGCATAAAATTGTGAGATGGAAAAATTTGTATGAGATGAAAAATTGCAAAGCTAACAAAATTACATCAGTTTAATATTTTATGTTCATTCGAGTTATTTGTTAATTTTTAAAAGTGAAGTTATTCAGCTGCATTTGGGCCATCGTTTTACATTGCCCCAAACAAATACAAAAATAAACATAACAGGCAATCTGGAGGTCCACAGTGGCGCCGGACGAGTGCGTTGTTAAAAAAAAAATGCCTCAAAAATGTGTCTCCCAGAAATGTGATCAATCCTGTGGCGCTGTGCAAATAATGGTCTAAATTAAAGGAATAAAATGCACGTCCTACATGACCTACATGTTGTTAATTTGTTCAACGAAAACGTACAGTTCAAACATGTGCTCGGTTTGAAAAAAAAAAAAAAACGATTTTAACATGGTCGCTGCCATAACAAAGAATTTACATAATGTTAAATTATGCCACACTTTATCAACAGTTCAAACAAAGACTTTACATTATGTTAAATTATGCCACACTTTATACCAACGATTCAACCCAAAAATTTACATTATGTTAAATTATGTCACAATTTGTCAACGATCCAAACAAAGAATTTACATAACAGGGAATCTGGAGGTTCAAAATGGCGTCGCACGAGTGCGTTGTTAAAAAAAAAAACGTCAAAAATATGTCTCCCAGAAATGTGATCAATCCTGTGGCGCTGTGCAAATAATGCTCTAAATCAAAGGAATAAAATGTACGTCCTACATGACCTACAATGTTGTTAATTTGTTAATTTGTTCAAGGCGTTTCTACAGTTCAAAAATTTGCTCGGCTTGAAAAAAAAAACGCTTTCATAATGGCTTCTGCCATAACAAGGAATTTACATTATGTTGAATTATGCTACACTTTATCAACGATCCAAACAAAGAATTTACATTATGTTAAATTATACCACACTTTTTGAACTATTTAAACAAATAATTTACATTATGTTAAATTATGCCTTGACCCAATTGACTGGTTACTTAAAACCATTAGCTTTGAGAGTTTATATCGTGGACTGTCCCCAGCTTATCCCAAGCAAAACACATGATAAATAAACAACACAAAATGTATCAGGCGTTGCGAGAAAAACTTCTCGCTGCTGTAATTTTCCACGTTGGAAGAAAATATGTCTCGGTGATACAGCTTTCCACGTTGTGAGAAAATATCTCGGTGATGTGATCATTGATGTTTTTAATCCCCCCGTACCTCAGTCCACGGTCTTATGAATTCTACCGTACTTTCACGGTCTTTTCCCAGAGTGGGACAACGTTAGTAAATGAACTATTAGCAATCTTGTGTGAGAAATTAACAAGTGTTATAATGTAACACTTAAGTATAAGCATCCAGAAACGTTATTGATAATTAGATAAACAAATAATGTGAATGCTCTATCTAAATAATAATCTCAGGATCTTTAAATTGTGTTAGACTTAGTTAACGATTAAAATCCTAACATAAATTTTGAATTTACAACAATAAAACAACTTAACATCACGTGTTAGCGTCAGTCGAAAATTCACTTATTTCCGCTTGGAAAAACCGCAAGAATTAGCTACGCGTGTTGGGGAAAACTGTGGCATCGCAATCGGTTCGATTAATTGTGGTTAAACAAAGGCTTCCTCAGTTTTATTAACTACCAAACCAACTAAACTTAACCTAGCTCCCTTACCGCGTGCTTTCACCATGCTTTCACTCACAAAACCAAAACAACAGTAACGCTCCTCGCCCCTCTAGCCACCAAATCAACTTCTATCAACTCTCTCAACAGAAAATTCTCTAGGAGAGTTACCGATTACCCAAAAAGAACTAAACGTGCACATGGTTGCCTATGTTTAACAATGTTCTTTCTTGATTTTTTTTTCAAATTCAAAATATTCAAGTGCGATTTCGCGCCGCTGTTAATTTTTTTCACCGTGAAATTTTAATTCAAATTCCGTCACCACAATAATAATAAACTGGGAAATACTTTCTTATAAGTTGTAAGATAACAGAGTTAAATACATATTTTATATTTTTGTCATTTTCTGTTTTAGCGTCACATCGAAGAAAATATTTTCAAATTTTTGAAACTAAAAACAATACGAATGAAACAGGACAATTAGGATCTACAGCGGAACTTCCCTGCTTTGTAAAATATCCAACAGCAGCGTTAAATGTAAGTTATTCAATGCTAGATTCTTCTGTTGTAAAAGTGTCACGTTGTAACCAAAATTTCATCAGTCTAATACCATTTTGTTATCAACCACAAGCTAATAAATTTGCTTATAAGAATATATAATTATGAATCGTGGATTAGGTTCCGTACGGATTATGTACATTACTAAAGAACTTTAGATTTAATTTAGAATATAGTAGCTTAATTCTATTAGTAAAAATCGTGATACGAGATTGAATTTGAACTTAATTATTAAACAATTTCGGAGGCTTGCACGGTCGGAATCAATACATGATCGTTTTCGGGGTTGGAATCGTGTAAATTGAGTTTTTGGTCTCAACTTTTCGCACACTTCCGTAAGGAGCAGGGTTAAGAATAAGGCAAAATAGCACGGTAACTCAGTATGTCAACCGTACCAGAGGCGAAACTCTTTTTTTTTAATTACCGTGCTCTTTATTAAAGACCCATGACTCTTTTAGGACTCAACATTATGGACCGATGGTCTACGTGTGCCGCTCTATGACAGTCTGCCTCAATAAAAAAAGACTCCAATGTATTGACACTACATCAGGACATATTATAACAGACTTGTTAAAGATAACCCAGTTGTAACTTTTTTGTGGATCTTTGCATTGTTAAAAAAAAATCAAAATAGCTGGAAAAGCTTGGACACGTTGCAAAGAAATTTCAAAAACAAAACATACTTGTAAAGAACACTCTGCATACTGGAATAATAGAAGTAATTATTATATTTCAAGTTGAAAACGGGAAAAAAGAGAAATAAAACAGATAGAATACCTTAGGGACTTGTTTAGGGGACACTGCCGAATCTGGTAACAGCAGAGGACATTTTTGAACTTAATGGTAAAGATCATGTGTTAGAAAGTACAAAGTAGAGATTAAGAAAAAAAAGCAACTCCAACTGCCGAATATTTTATTCCTCTTCCTGGAGACGCGGAATATTTGTCAGGTGTGATTTAGACAAGATTTAGCACAAAAGATAGACCAAATGAAGGATAAAATAATTTGATTCTTTTCAAATGCATGCTGCAATTGTTATAGTTATTACTTCAGTTCATTAATTTCAATAACTGAAATTTAATAAAGTGTCATGTTAATGATTATTTAACTGATAAACAATTTAGTGTTAAACGTAATTACAAAATTAGCCAATAATACGCTGTCAATATCAGCTTTGTCAAATAACATTTAACGTTTTAGCAAGATCTAAAACAGTGTAGTAAACTGATAGGCATGTGTTAATTGCTATTTATTAATTAATGTTGTTGATCAATTCATGAATATGGTTTTGTGCAATTATGTCTCCATATCATGTTTAGATTTAGCAAAATTTAACGTCGTTTACCCAAATTCATTTAAAATTACTAGGTAATATAGTTCTACTTTTGACATCATAGTTTTCTGGAACAGAAAGCTTACTATATTTTTTAAGGCAATAACTACTTCCTTCATTCTAGTATACCGAAGACGAATTATTTTCAGGGATAAGGTCTTATTTTTCTTGAAAGAATCAATATTTTGAGGCAGAGTCATGCTAGATTTTTTTTAACGTGTGACCTTACGACAATCGGGTGGCAATGACAATAATTATGGAATTCTTTTGTCGCTGTAAAGTTAAATTGAAAGTCACTTTTTACACACCCACCCAAAACAGTTGCATAAAAATAAATGACCTTTCACTTATCTTTTATAATTATAGACAAAAGTGTTTAAGATAATTTTCAAAAATCAGAGTAGGTACACCAAATGTGTTAAAAATAATCGTGATGTTAACCATGTTACTAAAACGTGTCGATAGTTTGCCTCAACTTTTTGTCGTTTCCAAAAGACTTTGAGTTTTATCGGCTCATAGTTTATTGTTTTATTTGTCGACGGTCGAGGGCTTAAATAGTGCCCCAAGTCAATAGTTGTCACATATTGTGATAGATTTTTTTGCAGGTATCTTGGTGGAAAGTAAACTCTAGTGCGCTCCTAACCACGAATAATGTAACAAAGTCTGCTGACAGGAGATTTATTGGAAGATTAAAGGATGAAAATACACACGTAAGTTAACTAAATAAATACTACAAAGTTAAATATCTATCTGTTTTTTAGCACTGGGTGCTGCGTATACGTTACACGCAAACTAGTGACGAAGGACTGTACGAATGTCGACTGGAAGGTGATTTTGTGGCAAGTATTTTTGTTACTTTGCGTTTACAAAGTGAGCAGATTTTTTTTTTGAGTGAATTATTATTATTTATTAGAAATATTACAGGAGCTCATGCAGTCATTAAGAATAGTAGGCCAGATGATACCCGTTTTGTTGAAATCGGGTCTACCCTTCGGCTCAGTTGTTATTTAGTGAATTCCATTGAGTCGCCTGAATATATATTTTGGTATAAGGAGGACCGAATGATTAATTATAATCTGGACGATGGTGAAAGTATAAGAGAGGGAAGGCAAGGAAGTGAACTGATATTTCCTGTTGCTAAGTACAGTCATACTGGAAATTATTCTTGTGTACCTTCTAATGCAGATCAAGCAAATTTATATGTGAAGGTACAAGTGAAGGTTAAGAGAAAATGTTAGCAGTATCGTGTACTTTAAATTATGAAGGAATTTTTGCAATTCAGGGAACTTAACATTATGTACTTCAAAATAAAAGCTATAATTTTTTAAATTAATTGTTGTTTACTTTCACATAGATCTCAGGTACTGGAATTTCAAGAAGAGCGTTGTTTGTTTTTACCGTTGTCGTCATAACCTTTACAACTCAGATTTATAGTTTGATAAATTATTAGTGTACAAGTGCTTTGTAGGTATATAAAATATCTAATCTATCCTTTTAGTTTCGCAGAAATAATTTAATGTGTATTTTGCTAATATTGATAAAATAAATCTGTTGTAAAGGGATAGTCATTTTTAATGTGGTGTTGCACAACGGAGGTTATAAATGTTTGCTCTCGATATGATGGAACCAGTTAAATATTTTTATAACATTTTCGTTTATGTATTTTTTTGTAACAACCATCAGAAACATGCCATCACTGAATCATTCCAGAAATATTGATAAAGAAGAGTATGCCAAATAGTGAACTTGGGTTTTCTATTTATTAGAAGCCACCAGCCGCTTAGGATTAAACGTTTTATGAATCAGATGTACATGATTATATTTTAGGTTTCATTCACTCAAACTAAAAGCAGATAAGCGTTGGAAATCATGACTAATGTAATCTTGTCTTTGTATTAAAATCCCGATGAAATTTTTCGCCTCGATCGTCGCTGATTTCAAGATTTGCAGAGAAACATGTTTTGTCGATTTACTGAAGGAAGATTTTGATGTAGTCAATTAAATTATTGATCGCTATGTTTTTTTTGGTTTATGTACTGAGTACATATATGTTACAAGTTATAAAAGATTCATATCAGGTGTTTAGTTGAAAAAGTCATCAAGACGGATTTGATTTTTTGTAAACATTGTGAAGTATGTCTACATTAAACTTAAAATTTAATTGATGGCAGCTGACAACGCGGAAATGTCAACTATATACAACAGTATGGACTAATAAAACAAATGCGTTTTTCTTTTGTCCAAAAACAACGTCAACTTGATGACTTTTTCAACTGAACAGCCGTTAGTTATCTGAGGTAATGTAACAATTTATTTCACAATTTTTGTACTGATTCTGATTGATATAGGCAGGTGCATGAGGAAAGAAAAAACATTACCACAAAGTAAGTCTTGTACTGTACAGTTTTATTAAATAAATATTTTTTACATTTACAATGATTAAATACATAATAAAATAACAGTCATAACAGGTTCCAAAAACATACCTAACTTAATAACATGATGTAAAAATTTAATATATATCGATTTAAATCTATAAGTATACTTATCACACAATCAATCATTTTAAGTGATAAATGGAATGTGACATTTATACACATTTTTTACGCTATGATGTGTTATTATGTACAAAAGCCTTTAAATGTTGATAGAACAAACAAAAAATGTAAAGAAATTGCCAAGAACTTTATTCTTTAAACGTAGGTGTAGTTTTCATAAAGATAGAAATTAGATTCTTTCTCGACACCACGTAAAGTTTCATACAAATTCATACACTGTTTTGATTTATCGACTGCTCTGGAAATATTGCAAAATGATAAATTGGCGTATGTGTAGGTATTTTTTCAAAGATAATTACATCTTGAAAGTAGGTGTACAGTACGTCGTGCCGCACAGTGTTGACATATTAATTAAAAACCGAAAATAAAATTTGCGCTGGTAGAAAAAACTTGGTCGTCAGAAAATTTAAAAATCTTAGTTTCTGTAGTAGGGCTTTCAAGGGTACGTTTAATTTTAATCGAGAATACAATAATAAAGCTAAAAGGACACTGTTCTTGAAATAAGTGGCAGTTATAGTTGAAAATCTGTAACAGAATCGGTGGTTCTCCAAAATAATCAAAATGTGCCCTTTTGGCTCTCACTTTTAATTTAACGTTTTAATTAATTAATAATATTCTTTTATAACGTGTCACTAAATCATTCCTTCATGCAACCACACTTCAATATAAAGTCTGTGAAGTTTGCTCTCTAATTCTCACGTCGAACAATAATTATTGTTGGTGTAACTTCATAGGTCCTTGTAACCTGCTGTCAGTTGTAACTAGCACAACATGTTGATGATAGAGAGGACGAGAAGCCAGGATGAGGGACTGCACTGCAGCCACGAAAGTCCTCTGGCTCCATGTTGCATTGCTGCCGGATTTTCGCCTGAAATAAATTTCTGTTAGTATAGTATTCATTACAGCACAATGTTGTTTACACAGGAAATATCAGTCTGCAAGTGGTTTTATAATTAACTGACACGTTAACTATTGCGCCCGAGAGACACATTGTTGAAGTTTACTAGAAATACAACTTTGTAATCAGTGAAAAAATTAGCATTAGTTGAAATTTGGGTTTTGTTTAGTGGCTTACTTATTATGAAATTTGGTGCGTCTAGAGTTGACAAAAACATCATATTCATGTAATAAAGTAACATATACACAGGGAATAAACCCACAGATTCAATTTATTTGCCTCCGCCTAACAAAATTTAGCAACGCTTTATTATGATTATGTCCATTATAAGTTTTGAAATAATATACCTGAAGGTATGTAAAAAAGTCTGTTGGGTTGAACAGATTACATGGTAGATGATCAAAGCTGAGATCATTATTAAGTGTCATGTGGTTGCAGATTTTAAGTAATGTCTGCTCACCTGTCGAATTCATTTTCATTTCTTGTCAGAAAATCTAAACTGTATACTAAGCCGTATAATTTAATTGTAAATAAATCAGATGCAATACAACGATAATTGCATACAATTTTAGTGTAGTTATTTTTTTTTTAATACCTAGATAGGTGACATATCCGATGAGTTGCTTAACTGTTACATCCAATCTACAGTATGAAAGGGAATATAAGAATAGTGAATTGTGCCCTTATTTAGCAAGTTAGCAAGTGGAACATACTCCAATAGGTACCGCGTCAATTCGTCGTGTACAATTCGTCGCGCGACAATTGATCGCAAACAACTGATCGCAGCGTCAATTGGTCGCAGCGACAACTGGTCGCAACGACAACTCGTCGCAGTCACAATTAATCGCAATACAATTCGTCGCAAGTACAACTGGTCGCATGCGACAATTGATCTCAGGCGAAAAATGATGGCGTTTATAGAGAAATAAGTAATTGTTATCAATGAGGAAAATAAAATAATGTGCTATATTCTCAAAAATTTCATTATTTTTAAAAAAAGTGTCAAAATAAGTACATACGAGTTCGATAAAAACAGTAACTATTAGGCTCATTTCCGACTAAACCAAAGTGCAAAACAGTGAAAATAGTGTAAAATATTTTTTTTAATGCTGACACATCTCGTCGGTATGCTACTGTAATGTTCATTTGGATTATTCGTCTTATTGATTAGACGCTTAAGTAAGTGATTCAAGCTTTTCTTCTCACAAGTTTAAAGTGTGTCTTTTAAACGAGTGAAAAAAATAGCTTTCAAAACGTGTTAGACGTCATTTTTCTTTAATAAAAAATGGTTTTAAAATTATTACATCTGTCAAATTAAAAAGTTATAGATAAATCGTGAAAAAACTCTCGTTACAGTTTTAAGTGAAAAAGTATTATTTTCATTACGTTTGATAGTTTAAAAAATTAAATATATATATTTTTTACTAAATTTGGTGCAAAGAAATTTGAATTTATATATTAACAATTAATCTTGGAGTTTATTGCATTCTTTGCAGACAATTTTTTGCTCACTACAAATTAGTTCTGGATTATCTTTAATCCATGATAAAACCAAAGATGTTTTTTCATTCAGAACTTTTTTGAACGGTCACACTGTTAATAAGGCGCTTGTAGATACGAAAGAATGAATAATTTATCTCGTTCCCTTTGCTAAGTACCTACATACCAATCTCCACTTTTACGCCATTTGTGTAAACAAGATCGTAAAAAGATTAGTTTTGACCATGGAGCAAAGAATATACTCATACTGGAGAAAGTGCCAAACTTAAAATGATGGTTTCGAGCCAAACCGGTAAAGTGTCATAAACAGTACCCCTCATTGCCCAGATAATAATACTACCGATGACAGTGACGTACAGTTTTTTTTTTTTGAAGCGGCTTATGGAATAAAAATTGTTGAATAAAACAACGCACATAACAGATTTATATTATCTATTAATTAATATTATTTAAAATATTTAAATCAAGCAATACATCACGAGTAACAAGTTAGTAATACAAACAGTGAATACCGTTAAAAAGTAGAAACAACCAGGATGACGACGCCACTGAGTATTGGTTATTCGCAGTGGCGTAACTAATTTTTAGCTTGGGAAGTTTGAAAAGTTTATTGAGGGGCATTTCACTCGGAAGGCCGACTATTCATTCAGAATTATTTGCCTAATCTGCCGGATGTAGGTGGGCTTCTCTAACCCATGTTGTAAATTTTTGTAGGATGCAAAGTGCGGAGAAGAATAAAATCAGGTAGCAGCCCGTAGTAGGGTCATTCATGGAAAACTGCGAACCAATTATTTCTTCCTTTTTTTTTAGATCTGAGATCTGTTTTACACGTCACAGAAATATCTATCGTAAAAGGAATTTTCAGAAATATTTTTCTCGTCATTAATCGCTTGCAAAAGATCAAGAGGCACTCGAAGCAAGCCCTGACAAACTTATCAGCGGCGCCAGCGGAGATCTCCAACTGGCTGCGGTACCACCATGGACACTTACGTAACCTCCTTTTCCAGAATTGTCAAAATGACATTGCCAAACTCAAAGCAATCATGAATTAAGCATTTCATTTTAAATTCAGTTAGTATCAAGTGGTACATGGTATTCGTATTTTGGGTTGCGTAAAAATAATTTTCAGAAATAATTTTCTCGTGACTAACCCTGTATATGTATTTTTTACACCCACATATGGTACAACTGAATTTTTCTTCAGTACAATACTAGTTACATAATAATAATTAAAAAGTAAGTTTTTAGTTGCATAAGTACCTACATTTCTTAGATTTCCCGGTAACACAAAATTATTCTTGACGCTCTAACAAAAGTTTTTGCAATATATATTTACAATACACGTAAACCTTTCTCAAACCCTGTAAAAGATCCGTTGCAACTTACAAGGGATTAAAATAAGTATTATATCCGAATTTACATTCGCTGCAAATGGATACTCTAGATGCACTATTAGTTCATAAATTTTATTATTTGGTGATATGTATAAAGACAAGAATAGACAATAGAGGCAATTCTGTACCAAAATGTGTTAAAATTTAAAGGTTGTTAAAAATATGATTTTTTAAATAATTGTAATCTAATTAAGAACAATAAACACTTGTTTTTATATATGTTGAGTACTAATGAAGCTAGTTCCTATAATATAATAGGTAAAATAAGCAACGAGATAAATAGTAACAATCTCTTAAAAAAAATAACCAAAATGACAATTTATTAATAAAAAATTGGTCTAAAGAGTTTAGACAGTACTTTCCTCGCTGTCGGAAACTTGACGACTGCATGCCTATTGTGTTTTTTTTTTCTCATTACATTTTTGTAGTGGGAATTTAAAAAAAAATTGTGATGATGTCATCAACATTTTTGCAAGGACACGTATATCAGTTGGGATAGATGTAATGTAATACTAAGAATAAAATTATTGTATTCCCAAATTTTCGGGAAAATGAATTGGGTCGTTTTGAATATTGATTTCTTATAATCAATAAAATAACGAAACAATTTACTCACGTATACGGCGCCGGTGTGTAATATCTAGAGAGCGGATTTCTGTCGGGCTAGGCAAGGCCAAACTCGGTACGGCTCGTACGGAATGCGAATTCATTGCGGTTGCGGACTGCACTTCGTTTATTTGAGATTAGAATAACGCTGTTTCGTTGCACTCTGCTGTTAATTCCCGTTCTCATTTACTTAGCCGTTTGATTAATAAATCGTTAATTAGTACCGATTAAATTCAGTGATTATCTATCACCCGCTACTGAGTCCCGGCGATCCAGCGCGTCCCCACCTATAATCGTGACGTAGCCCGACAAAAATCCGCTGTCTAGTAATATGAAAGGCAACTGAAAATCGTTTATGTATAAACATTCTTAATTTAAGATGACAAGCGTAACAGCATACGTGAGAGTCAAACAGAGAAACTGTAAACAAAACGACCATCGGTTTTATTGCTTCGACTTCCGCTTATTATATAAAACATTGGGTTTTATTTTAATTCTTGACGGTGAAATTCACAATTGGTTGATTATAAACATGTCTATTTCACATTCGCGGAACCAAGTGAGCGCATAAAACAAATGCAGGTCTGTAATGTTAAAGTCGATATAAATAAGCGTGCTACCCTTATGTTTCAACCGAGTTTTTCCTTTAACAAATTTTGTGTCTACCAAATTGGGTTGGTTGGGGTGTAATACTAATAATAAGTGTTGCCTTTAATTTAATCAATAAAATAAATTGACTTCATTAATTTTTTTGAACCACCTCTTAAGAAAATCTAAAAAATATGAATGGAATGATAAATCACAAGTACAAACTCATCATATTTTTTGCATTTTAGATAGGATTTATTCAGCAAAATTTAAGGGTGACGTCATCAATTTTTTTAGGAGGGATGAACAAATACATTTTGAACAAAAGTTTACCATGCTTATAATAACTTTAAAATATTCCCAAGATTTCAAAGCATTCGGTTTTGTAATTCCTGATTAAATCGATAAAATAAATTCACGCCTTCATTAATTTTTTTGAGTCACCCTGCATATGCAAATCCAAAAATATGAATGGAATGATAAATCACAAGTACAGACTCATCATATTTTGTACATTTTAGATACGATTTATTCGGCAAACTTTTGAGCTGACGTCATCAGTTTTTTGTAGAAGATAACCAAATATATTTTGACTAAAAATTTATTATGCTCTTTATAACCTTAAAACATCTGCAAGATTTCAAAGCATTCGGTTTTGTAGTTCCTGATTAAATCAATAAAATAAATTTACGCATTCATTAATTTTTTTGAGTCACCCTGTATATGCAAATCGAAAAAATTTGAATGGAATGATAAATCACAAGAAGAGACTCACCATATTTTGTACATTTTAGATAGGATTTATTCAGCAAAATTTTGTGGTGACGTCATAAATTTTTTAGGGGGGACGACCAAATACATTTTGATCAAAAATTTACCATG